ATTAGCACATAATTAGCACTAAATTAATAATAATAAATTAATTAAAAGATGCGACTTCACTTGAGAATAATTACGTTGCACCATGTCATGTACATGATCTAAGTAAAATTGACTAAAAGAAATTTGTTGCTCGTATGATTTCGGTACCAAATTAATCTACAGACTCTGTACTATCGAAATATATAAGAAATTGAATTTGTTGCTCGTTTTAAAGTATCGAGAAGCGACACTTTGTCATCGCGGACCGGTACGGCGCGGATTAAGGACGTTATAAGTAGTTTAAAAAATTTGTTGCTTGTATAATTTTGGTAACAAATTAATCTACAGATTGTAAAATAAATCAGAAACTAAATTTATTTATTGTTTTAAAATATTATAGCTTATACCTGTTATTTTGGATTTTTTCCGTAATAGTAGTATTTTATGTATAGTATAATAGTATTAATTTTGAAGTTCTATTCTTTCTATTATTTTAATAATTATTTTTATTTAAAATGAAATTATTTTAGAAACGTGTGTGATTTATCACACACACACACACACACACACACACACACTCTCTCACTTACGCACATGTATAATAATTGTACGCAATAATTACATTCTAAAAATTTTTATTTATTTTGTTATTTAAAAAATATAAAGTTTATAAAAATTAATATTACAATTATAAATACATAGTAATTAAAAAAAAAACGTAAAAATAAAATAATAAAAGGAATAAATATAATAATAAGATAATAATACAATAATATATACAATAATATTTATAAAATAATTTTTATAAATTAATTATAATAAATTATAATTAATAATTTGTTAATAATAAATTTAAAAATTGATTAATTAAATTTATATAATACTATCATCATAGAATACTATTACGTCAAAGTTAAAATAAAATAATTGTCAAATTTATAAAGGTAAATATGATTTACATAATGTACCGATAAAAATAAAATTATGAGATATAATACTTTTTTCTATTTTTGAAAATACATATTCGCAGTTTTTTGGTATATAATTACTCGTTCGTATCGAACGCGTCCACGACCACGACCACGTCCACGACCTCGTCCATAATTTTGTCCCCGGCTTCGTCCACGATGTCCGCCACGACCACGGACATTCGTCGCAACTTCTGTCATCCTTTGACTTTGCTGCAATTGTCGCAGTTCTCTTCGCAGCTCTCGTATTCTGTGAGCAGCTGCTAATTGCTGCTGTTGTGACTACTGCGGCTGTTGTTGCAAAGTTTGTTGGGCCTGTAACTGCTGTGGCTGCTGCGGCTGTTGTTGCAGTTCTTTTCGCACCTGTAACTGTTGCTGCGGCTGTTGTTGCAGTTCTTCTCGCACCTGTAACTGTTGCTGCGGCTGTTGTTGCAGTTCTTGTGGCTGCTGCTGCTGCTGTTGCTGTCGCTCTTGCGATGGCGTTGGCAGTGGCGGAAAATCGCGATCGTAACTTGCAGCAAGCAATCGTTCTTTACGTCGCTGTTTTGTTTTAGCACGAGAGCGCTGTAATGCAGCTCTTCCCGGACGCCTTTTTATATATTTACCTATAAATGTGAAACACAAGTAATGCAAGTTATAAAAATTTAAATACGCCACCGCTTATAAGTTTCCGCAAACTATTATTTTTAATGTTTTTAATATATTTATTAAAAATTAAGAATGTAAGGCGCAAAAGAAGCCTGTGCTGGTTGTTCGTGCATGTATGTATAGAAAACAAATAGTATAAATAAATATTTCTACTTCTTATTAGGCCTTCATCAATGTTAACAAGAAATAAAATATACAAAAATTAAGAATTCTTACATAGTCGCACAAATTTTAAAACTATCATTAATAATTAACATATTGTGACGGAGATAAAAAGAACCGTATGCAATTGTAAGAAAAGACGCACGCAATTTTAAAAGTTATATATTCATGAACAAGTAATTCCGCAGTTTACAATGTTAGAAACAGGTTCAGAGTGTCCAGAAAAGTTGAAATCATTGTAACAGCACGCGCTGTTACTAAGCGTCACGCAGGCTTCGCGTGTACACCCCCCGTTAGGGCCGCATTCCAATCCCCCAACTCGAGGGTAGTAGCTCGAGAAGGGGTAGCTGCCGGTATGGGGTAGGAGTCATAGAGATATAAGACTAGAG